CTGCCGCAACCAGAACAGTTCTTCTGTCCATGAAAAGAATGGAGAGCCCATTAGCACGCTGAGGGGTTTTTGCCAGCTGTTTGGTGTTTTTCTTGCTTTGTATCATCAGTTCCATTGGGAATATTGGGATTTGTCTGCACTGTGTACAGCTATATCATATAAAGATACGAGACGTGTCTTTAAATCCTTCAGGTACTGAGCTTGTGTTCAGGCACTAGTATTGCCGCAGCAGCGTGGATAACATAGCCGTACTGAACTCTGTGCTCTAACTACTGCCAGCACCCGGGCATTAGAACTAGATTTAAACTGTCTGGTGGTGTCATTTGTGCTACAGACACGAACATGGGTTTCATTTGTTTAGTCACTTTGAACAGAAAAAAGCAACAACCTATTCCTCTGTCCGCAGTTTAGATAACGGGAAAGTATTTTTGCATTCGAGTTGTTCTGTTAACAGCTGAAATGGTGAGCTAAGGCTTGGCCGGGACAAGTTACATGACGGATGTGAGTAAGGGCTTGTTTGATGAAGCGTGGCTTTGTGCGAGATCAGCATACTTAGTAAGTGCTCATAAAGTTGGCTTGTTCTTCTGTGGGATCGCTTGTTTCTGTGACAGTCTTTTAGTCTTCTGTTAACGTGCAGGAGCCAATTGTTACCTGACAGCATCCACCTTTAGCCCCCAGTCTGTTCAGGAGCACCTTGGTATGCGCATGTTTGTCCAGAACTGGTGGTACCTCAGAGCCAGAACGCATCTTTCTCCCTCCTCGAATCTTCTCATCAGAAAAGTGTTTGGTAAGAAGCAAGGTCGATTTTCTTAAAATTCTTGGTTAAAGGTTGTTACTCACATATAAAGGGAGTGTGCTTTATGAGATCTCAGACTTGATAACTTTCTGCAATTCTCAGGCAAGAAAAAAGGGCGTAGCCCCGATTTTGCTGGGCTGAAGTAGAAGATTCTATGCCCAACTCAATTTACAGCTTGCCACTTCAGGACCTTTCTTAGGGTTGGGGTGAAGCTGGGCCTGTGATCTCTACACAGCTTCACTGCCTTGAGGTCAAAGCTAAAGATGGCTGTTGGTTTCTTTGTGTGAAAGGCTTGGTGGCACTGTTCTGGGTCCAGTCCCGGGAATGGCCAGAGGTAGCCTATGTAATGGACACTGACCTTGGTGCTTGCTTACCTACCTGCTGCTGGTATTTATTCCAGATGGCGTGGATGAAGACATTATTTTCCTCCTGTTTTTATTTACAGGCGCTATGCTTGGATTTCCTAAGGACACTGCAGCCTCAAAGACTTACTGATAACGACAAACTGGGGGGTGGGGGACTTTCAGCTGGCTCTAACATTTCACCCCATTGCTATAAATGTATGCAGCCTCAGCTCTTCAGCACATGACTTGTGTCCAGAGCACCAAAGGTCAGGAACACAAAACAGACATATGACTATGGTTGGTTTTAAAGGAAGGACTTTAGCCCTGTGACAGCTTGTGCTCACTGACATGGTTTTAGGCCTGAGAGCTGCTTACATCTGCCATTGCAGAACCCCTAAAGCTGAGACTTTGACAAGGCAAGGCCTGCAAAAGGCATGTATGCCAGGGGTGTGTATGTGTGAGTAGATAGCCAAGGTGTCTTTTAGTAGTGTCTGGTTGTTTTTCTGGGGTGTTCTGTGTTTTTGTTTTATTTAGCAGCCGTTAAACAATGGTATGGTACATCATGATCTTCAGGGCAAGAGGGGTGGGGGAGGAAGGCGGGTTGAATGTAGCATAATTAAGGTGCCTCTCTTGTTCTGACAGCACTTTAAACAATTTACAAAACACATTTAAAGCAGCAATGTGACAATTTCCTCAGTGTTAGAACACCTAAGCCTGTCTTTAGATACAGGCTCAGTGCTTACAGTGTGGCTCATCAGTGATACGCTGCAAGCACAGAAGGTCACTGACAGGCTTCAGTGGCATCAACCAAGCCGAGTTTGAAGACTTAGCGGCACTTACTTATGTATCTAATGTTACTACAGCATAATTCAGTAACCGCTGAAATATGCTTGGACGCCTTGAGGCAGAGCTTGAGTAACATTTACTCCTGACGAGAACATTAGTGTTGGCACTATTTCAGTGTTTTCCTTATTTCCACTGCTAAAACCAACGAGATAGGCTACACTAAAATAGGATTCATTATTTGTGTTCTTGTTAACTGCTTGTAAAATATAAAAAAATTACCCTGCTAGATGAAGCGTCTATGTTTTCAGGAATATCAAATGTCTGCAGAGTAAACTCGGGACTGCTGCCACGAACAGCAGGCTCTTCTAGAGGTGATGTGGTACTTCCCCGTTCTCCTGGTAGCTGAATTAATGGTTCGCTGCTGTGCATCAATGCATGGGTTCCCAGACTTCCTACGAGGTTCTGTCAGTTCTCCTATGGGAAGCTAAGGTATAGTCACCCTTGCATTTGATATAGATACCACTGTGTTGTCATCTGAAACTTGAGTTGTAGCTAAGTCTGTCTTCCCAGAGAGTTGAATTGCCTCTTGTTCAAGTCACACCTTTCCCAAACGTGTATCATTTCTAAATGGTCTTTTAGAGTTAAGACTGCAAATGCATTTTTACAAGCAGATATTACCAGGAATACCTGGCTTTGGGTTGTTGCCCTTGCTATTACTTTCTTACCTTGAACTCTACTGTATGCTCTCACTGCAAGTAACACAGGGGCCTTAAGAGTGGCGTTGCTCTGATAGCTTCTGCTGCCCTCTGGTTTTCCCTTCAGACACCAGTGTAGGGA